CTGAAGTTGTGGCAAAACACTTTGCACTGGGAGCTGAGAGAGGTCAGCATATAAACAGATGTGAACCGGTTGACTAAGGTTTTGAGGTCAAGAGCAGGATTGGAGTTTCGATTATTTGTCAGGAGGTCAGCTCATTCTGAGATTCGCATGTCTTTTCTCAGACTAGGAGTCGATTCGCACATTCTTTCGCGCAATCACCGATGATTTGCTGCTGCTCCTGCGATTTGGAACAGCCCAAGCTGCACAGCTGCAGCCTAAGCAGCTTAAGCTCAAATCAGTTTGCATGGGTGCCAAGTGCAACCATGCGTTGCATGACTGCTGCTTCGCAGGTCTGCTATTGCAAGCCTGGCCTGGCCTGCTGGGCCACCTGAGGAAGTCTGTTTCCCAGCTGCTTTGCTTCGTGTCTCCTGGAGTGCTCCAGGTTCGCATCGCGGACTTGGACACCCCGTGTCTTGATCCGGAACAGACGAAGTCGTGCGCATCGAGGGCGCGTGGCTGGTCCAAAAATCGCAAAGCAGCCATGCCGAAGGCGAATTATTTCTTCATTAGAGGACTTGGAGAGACTTTCTAGCGGCCCTGAACAACACAAGAGCTCAATTCTAGAGGGCCGCTTGCCACCACAGTTGTGCAAGGAAACAGAAGCTGCGCCAGCGGAAGTATCCCTGGTGCCACTTGGGCAAGCTGGCCTCAAAAATGGAATTTCCAGACGGGGTGTGAAGCAGAGCAAAACGCTAGCAGTCCAATCAACTCAAAGCTGCCAACATAACTTGGGCGATGGCGACACAACTTGCAGTCTTGATGATGCGTAGTCAGTGCTTTTCAAGTAGCCTTGCCGCATCAAAAACAGCTCTACCGGGCTCTGACCCCCTCTTTCGACGTCCGCGTCATGTTGGGCAGCTCTTGAGTTGCTGTTGAAAGGCCAAACACGTTGACGTTGGTCACAGGGCGGGCACTGGCAATGGCAAGGTCTGACCAGAGGGCTTGAGAGCTGACGTTTGTTCGTCTTTGGAGTGGATCTTCAGGGTCAGGCAATGGCACCCAGACACGACACACGGGACTGCCAGTCCGGACTGCCGAGAAACGGCCAGCGGTGGTGCCAAGGGGGTGAATGGGGCGGCATAGTCCCATGGAGGGTCTGGGGCAATAATAGCACCATATTTCTTGGGGTGCTGGCGGATCCAGCGGAAGGATGCCATGTTAATGGGGCCTGGCACACATGCACATGATTGCACATGTAGGTCTCTTGCTCTGATGTAGGTCGACTATCCACAGAACGTGCAAATCAAGTGCCTATCAGATCGAGTCGGCCGTTGGCACACCGTGCTGCCACACCGTGCTGCGTCGCTTGACTTGGATCTGCCGAACGTGCTGATGCTGCACCCCACCGCCGT